GCCTTCTTCCTCGTCCAAGCAAATATCTGGATCGCGAACATTCTCATTAATTCGAGAATTGGGTGATTTTGTTCATCCTTCTTGCAGTCGAATGCTGCCTCCCAGTGGAATATATTGCAGCAAGGAGCTACAGTGAGTGTACTATCTGATGCAGTAAGTTCGAAAAGGTAATAAAAGTCATTTTTCGGGAGGTCAGCACACGCGGCGTGCACCCAAACTATCATACCAGTAAAGTTAGAACTATAAGTAAAAAAAGGAAGAGTTTGGTTGAGAAATTACTATTTACTAGCATAAAAAATGTAATTTTCACAAAAATCTGCAAACTCAGTTAATGGCAATATTAAAAGTTACCGGTCCAATGTGAAACATAAATATGTTTAAGGCATGGGAATGGAAAAGGATGGCAAGTTAATACAGAAGAAGTACAAATACAAAATCTTCATTAATTAAATTGTCTTTAATAACATTTAAACTTGCATTAAATGTGTCAGAAATGGATGTGGTCATCTTAATTGCAGTTTTTTTCTAATGTGGATACTTCGTAAAAATTTCCGTTTTTAATGCACGAAAAGATTTTTGCGTGCTTTATATCAATTTCTATTGAAAATTGCAAAAAGATTTTCTATGGAAATCATATCCCGGCTGTTGAGCGGAATAAAAATATATTGACTGCCACACACGGATAGAATGGCTGTTTAATAAAAAGTTAGATTACGGTTGTACTTGTAATCAAATTCATACCATCTTGTGTATGTCGAAAGTAATTCCCGTTTATCAGATTTGAAAAAAATTATTTCGAGAGTTCGAGTGCGGCGAGCAGCAAACTCTTTTCGAAATTCTGCTGATCACTTTATGAATTTCACTGTTTTGCTTTGATTGTCCATAAATACGGATTTCGTTCCACCTATTTACCGAAAACTTAGAAATAAGAAATATCTTAAAAGCATTTATCTAAACCATGAGTTCTTAAACATTCCTCCTTTGATAGCTGCCTGCGTGCGTCATGACTTTAGAATCGCCCAAACATGTCAACTCATTGCCGAGAAAAATGAATTTCCACAAGGAAATCCGAGAATAAATACGCCAATGATTAATTGAAAAAATTTTTACAACAAGTTACCTCCTCAAAAGCGCTTGAGTTAGATATTTCGAAGTCGAATATCTGTGTACGATAAATTTTTTTAAGATAAAGTCAAGATCAAAATGGTATATTTTGACCGGTTTTTGACTTCCCTAAAGCTTAGAGGAAAAAGCTCTGCTGGAAATGAAAGAACTTACATTTCTAAGTAAACTAAAGCAGTTTTCAATAAGTTCCTTTACTTAAGGGCAGCCTTCTTTGATTTTAATTGCGCAACAGAGGGACCCAAAATATCATCAAATATTCTCACACATGATAATCTTTTGTCTGTTCTGTTCGAAGTTTTTATATTTATTGATTTT